CATTTACACAAGTCTACTGTAGCTTGTGGCTAGACTGACTCACGTCCACACGAAATACTAGCAAATAATATGTTGACCAATGACAAAACAGAAAAACACTGCGTCATCTGGGAAAGGGTGCAGATGACCTGACATCACAGACAAACTTGAAATCTTGGTTCAGTAACAAGGGAAACATGAAGTATACTCCTTAAGAGGTGGTGTAAGTAATCACATATTAGTACATAAAAGTGCCATCGAGTCTTTTGTGCAATAAGTTGGAAGAATTGTCACATTTTTAAAATACAATTTTTTAAAAAATTAGTACTCCTGGTTATACACATAAAAATCAGATCTCCAAGGAATATACAGAGTTTAATCCTACACATAAATTCACAGAGGTAGACCAAGAATTAAGCCAAATCACAGCCATCCCTTCAATTAAAAAAAAGCAATTAGTAAGAGGAGAGGGTTGTATACCAAATGGTCTGTAGAGAGGTCAGTAGCAGATCAGTGTTCAAAGCACATGGAAAGAAGTAGCTATAGGAAATTGCCTTGATTTTCTTTTTTCACTTTTGCTGTCCAATTTTCTTTTCCTTATAATTAAATCATTTTATTGTACTATAATGATGTACATTTACTAGTGTTCATAATAGATATATAACTTCTAATCTGTTCTGTGAAAGTTAGCATTGCCAAATACTAGTTCATTATGGTATGGTAGCTAGGACTTGCATATTTCAGTGTACTTACAGCATCATCTTAGCCAAGTTATCTAGAGTCTCTAGGTATCAGTTACCCCATCTATTTACATGTAGATAACAGAATGTCTCTTTCTCAAGGTCATTATGAAGATTAAAAATTTAATACCTAGAAAGTGATGTAGCCCTACCTGGCATATAAACAGTGCTTTTAAAATGTCATTGTCATTAACAAATACCTCATGAAAAAATATTGATGTTTTCATTAAAATATTTAATTTAAAATAACCAACAGTCGTAAAAACAGCAAAAACTTGCTATTTTTTTAAAAAGTAATCTATTTTCACAATGAAAGATGACAAAATTGCTCAAAACCATTATCTCTAAGTAAATCAATCACCTTAGCAGATATAGATATCTTAAGTACTAAGATATCAAATTAGATTACCAAATTTTTTAAATTTCCCAATTCTAAATTACTAAACCAGAATTTGTTTTATTTTAAATGAATATAAATCAAAGTTCATCTGTAGGATGAGAGGACAAGAGTGTAAGGGTATTAACAAAAGTTACATCATAAACAAGGCCCATGTCTATTCATTTAAGAAAATAAACTACATTCAAATAATGTGAAACCATTACATATATTTGAAAATATAGTTCAAATGTTTAAAGAGCCTGAAGCAACTTTTTAAAACTTACACTACTGCCTACAGAAGCTAATTCCAAAAAGTTCTGAGAAATATTTGAAATTGAGACTTCTACTAGACAACTTACAGGTCTCTGAAAATAATACAATTCATTTTGCTTCAAAATATGTGATAATATATGCATACTACTCCCAGATGATTTTCCCCTAGTTATCCTAATTAGTGAAGTTTTACCATATGACTATTCTCTTGTTAAAACCATGAGAAACTCTGGCATTTAGGTATGCAATAACATTTGGGACACTGTCCAGGCTTTAGAAAAAAAGAAAAAAAACATGTCACACAAACATTTTATGAAGAACACTTCATTTAATTAAAGAGAAAAGAAAAATTATACTAATTTTCTAAATAAACTCCCTGAGTCTTTGGCTGAATGCTTTGATAGTAAATATGTTTGTGAAAGACATTTTATAATCTTTCAATTGTTTCTATGCTATACTGCTTATAAATATTAATGGTCACAAGTGAAAAAGAATCTATATCAAGAACATTGCCATCTTAACTTTGAGTATATTGAAATTGCTGATAAAAATGAATTATGCAATAAAACATTTGCACAATTAAAACATACAAATTCAAATGGCGGTTTTTTTATTTTAAATTATTTTAACATAAGGATGAAAGGACAACATCAGCTGAAGTTATATTGAGTTGGTCAGAATTACTGTTTGGGAAAACTGGCAAGAGTTTATAAGATTATGGTCATTTAACAACAATTAACAACATCACAGCAAAGATGTGTGACTCTGAATATTTATGTGTTATATAGAACGCTGTTTTTAAAAGGATAATTAAAATATGATTTAATGGATAATTAAGATGATGTACTTCTTAGTCAATCTAACAGTAAAAAGAAGATAAAATTTATTAAAATTACCTTAAAGCAATGGGGGGAAATTAGTACATTTGCAGTCATGAGTATTGCTTTCACATTTTGTAATGAGAAATACACAGATATAACAAAAATATTTGTTTTCTTACATCTTTAATCTCCTTTTCATCAGATTATAGACCAGATATTTGGTCAAACGTTATTCTGGATGTTTCTATAAAGGTATCTCTCAGTGACATTAGCATTTACAATAGTAGACTCTGAGTTAAACTCATTTTCCTCCAGTAGTGAGTGTGGGATTCATCCAGTCATTCAAAGGCCCAAATAGAAAAAAGAGGGGGGAAAAAAAGACTGACTTCCCACCTAGAAAGAAGCTCTGAAGTGCACCGCTTCAGACTCAAATGCACTACCAATTTTTCCATTGAATCTCTGACCTCCAGCCTTACCCTAAGCATTTTGGACACTCCAGCCTCTAATTCCTTGAAATAAATCTCTTTCTCCCTGTAAATACATATCTCTTTGTTGTATTTCTCTAGAAAATCTTGAATAATGCATTAGTGCCTGTGTTCTAAATCCAGATTGTCTGAGTAAAAATACTCACAGTACTGTACACTACTTGGGAGACTTGGACAAAATACACAGACTTGTCAGACTTCATCTCCTCATCCATAATAAGGGATAATAAACATCAACCTTTACCGCACAAGATTTTTTTCAAGATTAAATAACTTTTATACATAGAGGAAAATTTAGAAAAAGAATACTCTATATAATGGATAGTGTTCTAAGAATTCAATGAATATTCACTATTTCCAAGATTCTAATGTAGCTATAAAATTTGCACTTAATTCTTAAAAGCAGGGATGAGGAGGATCAATAGAATTTTTTAAAATTACAGGGTTATCTGGAAATCTTTTTGGGGGAGGGAAGAAGTATTCAAGATAAGGGAAAACTTTAGCCCACAGGTTTTCAAATTTTGGTTTCTTAAATGGAAAACCAATGATTTGCATTTGAAAACAACTGAAGTAAAAGCATGCTTTGCTTTATATCTTAGCTGTATTCTTAACCAGATGCCTGCTGATATAATTACTGAAAACTACATCACAGGAAGCCATCTCAGAAGTGTTTTTAAATGTGATTTCTAATTGTTAGTAGTTCCTACCACATTGCCTCTACTTTTGTGTTCTATACTTGACCTCTATATATTTCTTCCAATTATTCTCATCCTTCCTACTGACTAGCCACATATGCATTTCCCTATAAATTCATCCCTTTTCTTGAAATTCTGTCAACTACCCAGTAATTTTCCTCTTGTTTATTGTACTTTGATTTTATCAGAAAAAAAGCCTAGATGAATACCTGTATCTTTGGGCCTTGATAAAAACTTCATAATGCTTGCACAAAAAGTGAAAACTATAAAGGAAAAGAATTATAGAAATTGCCACTTGCAAATTGAATACCTAAAATACATATATATTCACCAAGACTATGAAGAAAAGTTAAAAAGTGAATGACAAATGCAGAAATAACACTTCTTACATACTGTCAAGTATTTAATAGAAGTAATAATACTTATTTTTCTGTAATGTATTATACTCTACATTCAACATTTATACAAATAATCCCATTCTAACTTCCTAAAATCCTATAAAGAAGACAGAAATAGGGATTTACAAATGTCCACATTAATGGTATTTTGGGCAAGATTTACTTCTTTTTGGGCAACCACCTTTGTGAACATCATCCCCGGACTTTATACCTATCAGAGGTAACACTAGGCTCCCCAATCCCAGCCAACTATGACCAACAAAAATATCTCCAGACATTGTCAAATGTTCCCTGAGGAACACTAGTTTAGAAACACTGATGAAAAGAAATGAAATCTTCCTTTTTACAAATTAAAAATGTGGCGTTAAGAGAAATTAAGCGATGTTCACAAATATATTTTTATCTTAACGACCTACAAACTTGAAATTTATAGAGCATCATCACGAATGTTTTAGGTAAAATACTAACCACACTTAGTAAACCAACTGTGGTGTTTGTATTACAACTGTTTTATATCGCACACACTTCCCATCTCACTTTCTCCTCCAGCTGATCCAGTCATTTCAGGACGCTTTCTTCCCACAAAAGGAAAACATGGCATTACAAATTCCAATTTAGAAATGGGCATTATGAAACTTGTCTAGTCATAAAAATTCTTACATAATGCAAGCCTGTTATTTTCAAAGCAGTTTCTGTTTTTATTTGAGCAAGATTTATGAAACAAGTTATCACTCCTTTTATTTAGGTAGATAATATGCCATCTACTCATTATGATATGCCTCTGTCTAACACATGTAAGACACGGAAAACATTTTCTTTTTATGGAAGCATCGCATATGGAGAGCTAGTCAAATATTAAATGTTAAAGGTACAGTTGAAGACACTTTGATTTTATGAAAAATACTTCCAATATTTTGAACTTCTGTTGAAATTTCATAAGCATATCAATGTTTTAACAGTCTATAATCTTATTCAGTGTAATATATAGCAATTCTTCACATGATCATCTTTCCACACCTCTTAAAAATACTGGAGTCTCATATTAATATTCTAAACACACTTTATATAATTAGCCAAACATTGTATCTAAATAGCACTTCACTTCAAACCGCTTCTCAACAAAAGAAGGAAAAATGGAATTGTCTTATGTAATAAATTGCCATCTGTGTGCAGACTGCTAAGGTGAAAAGGGAACATTTGACCATCAGAGGATCAGTGTTATGAACCTACCTTCCATGACATACACCAGTGACCCCACATCTCCTTCCTTAATGATGCAGCTGTCTTTGCCATATTCCACTGGGTACATACAATCCACAATCTCCTGGATCTGTGACAGCTCCAAGTTCTTCATAAAGTCATTGTCAAGGATAGCTTCCTTTATAAGATCCTTGGACCTATGGCAAGAGAGGGAAGAGTTACTGACACATCTGACAAGTTCTTTCATAGTTTGTGAGGATTCACAGAGCCATGCAATGCTCTGGCACACTACAAATACATTTTCTTGTTAGGAATCCAATAATTTTCTAAAGACCTGAGAACAAAGTAGTTTCATGGCAGCAGTAAAAGCACAGAGAAATTTTCCCTTATGCAAAGTATCATTTAATGAATAAATGATCGACCAACCAACAGGCAGTTTATATGATTTCATTGTTCTAGAATTTTTTTGGCCACAAAAATTTTGGGCAAACCAATGAATAAACATTTTAAAGTGAAGTTTGCAGTTGGTTTAAGGAAAATACAAACACAATGCAAAATATTTGCAGAGCAAACTTTTTTCACTACTTTGTATGTTATTAAAAAACATTAAGCCATTACACAATTACACAATTTTTAAACCAATTTTTGCATACTTCTTTTCCTAGGCTTTATGCTCTAGACAGGCAAGGATCAATTTGGTCTCTGCTATATTCCCATTTCCCACTATGATACCACTCATAGGATGGGTCCATGGATAAAAGTGGTTAAGATCTGGATTTCTAATTAGCTGATTGAAACAAATATGACAGTTCTTTATCTATGTCTCATGCTTCTTTAGGGAATATCTCCTCAAGCATCTTAATTTGAAGCAACAAGCCAGATAAAAACTCTTTGAACAAGATGTTTAAAATTTAACGTAATTTAGATATGGGATTAAATATAGGTAGTTAGTAGGAAAGACACGTATAAATTCTGTAATTGGAGTCCAGTGGATAACAGGATGATTTTTCAGAACTAGTGATAATTTTATTCACCGGGATAGGAAGTTCCAAACTACTTCTTAAGTTCACAAAAATCAAAGAAGAGACATTAAGAAATATTTTTCTAGGAGGGACACAATCAGAAAACTGTCAGAGAAGTCTGAAATTGAATATGATGAAAACAAAGACCTTAGTAACATAAAGAGGAAGAAATACTTTTGGAATTTTCTATTAAAAGTTTTAATTTGAAGAAATGAATACAAGCTATCCTTTCTCCATGCTGATTCAGCAAGTCACTTGCAAGGAAATGATCTACAGTAGGGACACTTCACTTAAATACCAGTCATCCCTCCCCAAACCAGTGATATCTCAGAGACCTCCAGCTAACCAGCCTAATCTTTACACATTAGTATAGAATGATTTGGGTATAAGAAATAAAATGATGTATATAAAAATAAACATAATTAAAGATGTATTACTGTAAACAGTACTGCTAGGATGGACTATTGTAAGCTTCAATTTTAATTATGCTTATAAAGAGAATTAATGGCAAAGGAAATTGACTTTTATGTATAAAAGCAGGACAAAAAATTGTTTTTAGGGTATGTGTGCAATAAAATGTTAAGAGTAATACATATGTGGGTCTTAATCCTTAGAATCATATAATCTGCCTTACTCTTTGAATTTCCATTCTATCATCTATAAAATGGTATTTTTAAAAGTACCAACCTTGCAGGTATATATGTGAATTCTAAATATCTAATTTTACTTCTAGCAAATGATGGGTGATACACGTGGCAGTAGTATTAACTACAGTAGCAGGAATGAAAGGGGAGGAACAAAGGATACAATCATGAATTGAAACAATATCAAAAGGAAATAAAGAAAATTTTGATTTTAATTGGTTTTAGTGACAGAATTATATATTTTCTTTATACTTTTCCAGACTTACACATTTTCCTAGAAAGACCAAGCTTTTTGTATTAAAAATAATTCATTTCAAATGTATTAAAAGCAAACAATAAGGAATCCTTGTCACTGAAACTCTTAGGGACCACTGTCTCATACACATTATGTTTGTTTGTTTGTTTGTTTATTTACTGATTTATTTATTGTACCAGCGATCAAATTCAGGACCTTGCATTTGTGAGGCAGGCAGAGGCACTACTGAGCTAAATCCCTGGCCCTTATATTCATTTGGACCACAAATCACCAATTCTCAGGCAACTCTTACATCTTAGGAGAGTCTTTTCAATAATTTCAAAAATTATCTCCAGAATCTGAAGTCTGCCCACTATTTACTTATCTTTACATCAGTTTTCTCTTCAATCACATCCAAGGCAATTGCAAATATGCCAAATGTAGCCTCTCCCAGAAACGTGAAAACTACATCTGCTTTCTTTTCTTAGAAAGAACTCTCAGGGACATTATAAATATTGAACACATTGATTAAGTTATTGCTAAGTGTGGAAATCAGGTAAGGCAACTTAAAATTTCTATGATCAACTTTTAAATAAAATATAATCCAGTCTCTGTAGATTTCAATGGTCAACTTTGGGTGCAAATGTCAGATTGTTATGGTTTGTGTTTAGATGTTACCCCATCTAAACATGTGGATGAGGTAGGACTTTCTTTTCCAGAGGCAGTTGAATCTGAAATGTGTGATTACTAAACCACTACATGTGATTAGTGGTTAGTATGGCACTCCCCTAATCCCAGTAGTCTGAATAAGATAAAAGGGGCAGAAAGATGCTGTTAAACTCTCATTGCCTTTGCTACTGTGTGGGTGCCATGTTATTTCTCCTTTGCAATGTCTGTTTGTCATCCCTGCCTTGGAGCCAGCCAATTATGGACTGAAACCTCTATAAACTATAAGTCAAATAAACCCCTTCCTCTTTTAGTTTGGGTGTTGGGTATTTTGTCTCAGCATCAAGAGAAAAGTAACTAATACACCAATTTGGTACCAGAGGTGGGGTCATTGCAGTGACATTACCTGGCCATGTGGCTCAAAAGCCTTTGGAACTGGCTTATGGGAAGAGGAAGTGTTAGGAAAGACACAGAGACAATGGCTACAGAAGTAGCACTGGAGTGTCTTAGGTTGTTTTGTATGGGAGATTCTGGTCAGAGCTCAGAAGACCAGAAAGACAGTAAAACTAGGCTTTAGAGGTTTCTGCTGGGAAGGACTGCATTTGTTGCTAGACTCCAAAGATGAGTGTGTGGCTTGATAGAAAGTTTGTTTGCATTTCGTTTGTGTCCAGGGACTTTTCTTGAGACTGAGAGTAGGGGTGCTAGACTAATTAATCTTGCAGAAGAGATTTCAAGGCAGTCGAATATTGAGGCAGTGGGCAAGGCTACTGTTGGGAACTTTTAACCAGATCTATGCTGAGAACCAAGAACAAAGAGCCCAGCAAAATGATTTAAAATGTTTTCAGTTTTGCTAGACAGTAAGCTCCAGTAAAGCTATGGACTGCAAAGATAGAGCAGAGGAGATCTTGATTGCTGAGAAGGAACAGGAAAATAGAAAAGTGACCTGAGGGCATCACAGGAAGCAGCAGGACTCCACCCTTTGTAGTCTCTGAGTTGTAAAGGTGAAAGATTTTGCTTTGAGAAGAAAGCCCCAGAGCACCATGTTCTGGGTATGGTGGCAGCCACAGGATGTTCCAGAATGGCAGCAGTCTAGGGAAGTTGTTCCAGAATTGTGGCAGCTTAGGGCATTTGTTCCTCGGGATTAGATTCAACATGCTCAGCAATCCAGACAATCGACTCCTTTAGCCAAGGGAGAAGGAAGCCTGGCTACTGTTCCACCTGGCAGCAGACCTTAGCTTGGTCCAGATGGCACTGGTTTTAGGCACATGTAGAATGCAAGAATGGTGAGGTCAGGAAGTCTTCCACCTAGAGGTCAGAAGGCCTGGGAGGCCAGGCAGTGTGCCCCTGAGAAGGCAGAGTGTGAAACTGTGAGTGTGAAGCCAAAGGTGAAGGAGAGACCCTAGAAATTTGGAGAAGTCAGGAGTGTGGTCACCTGAGGAAAACTGAAAGGAGGGAGCAGAGCCAGCCCCAGAGAGAAGCCATGAGAACTACAAGCTCCGGAAGTACCATAGAGGCTGAGCCGCCGAAGCCCTTTGGAATTTGTAACTTGCCACAGTTTGCCTCAAATGCTGAAAGTGGAACTGTGGAATGTAATGTTTGCTCTGCTAGATTTTGGACTTCCTTTGCTCCTATTCCTTTGTATCCTCCTATTTGTACCTTTTGAAATGAAAGTGTCTAACTCGTGCCATTGAATGTTGGAATTGTTTGACTTTCTTTTCATCTGTTCAGGGGCTTGCAATTAAGAGTTTGCCTTAAATCTCAGAGGAGACTTTGGACTTGGACTTTTCAGCAATGCTGAAACTATTAGGACTTTGGCAACTCTTAGAAATGGACTAAATGTTTCTCTGCATAAAGGTATATGCATGATTCTTTGGGGAGGCCAAGGGCACAATGTTATAGGTTGTGTTTAGATGTCCCCTCAAAGCCTCATGTGGATGAGGTGGGACTTTCTTTTTCAGAAGTAGTTAAATCTGGTATGTGTGATGCTGGTGTTAAGGGCACATGATTACTAAACCATTACATGTGAGTGATTGGTTCGGCACCACTCTAATCCCAGTACTCTGAATAAGATAAAAGGGACAGAGATGGTGGTAAACTCTCTCTCACTGCCTTGGCTACTATGTGGGCGCCGTGTTGTTTCTCCATCGCAAAGCCTGTTTATCATCCCTAACCTTGGAGCCAGCCAATTATGAACTAAAACCTCTATGAACTGTAAACCAAATATACCCCTTCCCCTTTAGCTTTACATGTTGGGTATTTTGTCTCAGCAATGAGAAAAAAATAACTATCACACAAATGAAACAAAAAAATGCAATTTCAAGGTCATTTTAGCCTACAGTATGGTCTCTGTGATTAGAAACTCAAAAACAAATCCCCACTGATAATTCATAGCTCTTCCACTCATATAAAATGCCTGCAGAGCTCGCCAATAGTTTTGAATCCCAGGAATCATTACAGCAGGATAACCTTATCTATCTACTGTTAAATATTTGATCAATTGCCTAGAAGCAAAAACAAATGAATAAATAAATAAATAAACAAACAGACACCTTGTGCTATCACAACTGTTAAGATTCAATTGCCCAAATAGTAGATTCTATTTTTTTTTTTTTTTTTTTTT